GTGCTGTCGAGTTGGACCTGACTCATAGTGACCCCTCCTTTGGTTTCCAAGGCAGTATCACTACGGAAGTAGATTGCCCCATCTTCCTTCCGAGATATATATATATATACATATATACATGTGTGTGTGTGTGTAATTATATTTTGGCCCAGTAGGACTGGGAGAGAGTGAGAGGGAGTGGGAGATGGCTCACCAATGGATTCAACTCCTAGTAGAAATGTCAACATCTCTGAGCAGAATTTTCTTTGTCACCTTTTCCCCAACCTTGATGGTCACCACCTGTTGGTGGTGACAATGCTGGCTTAGTTAATCCTCTCTTTATATACAGATTCATGGTTTTTAAACCATAAATGTGTGACTCTTTAAGGGGAAGACTTTTTCCTTTTTGACGCCTCCTAGTAGGGGCAGGGGAGACTAAGGTAATATTCTCTCATTCCCTTGAATCTCTTCTGCTAAGAGATCCTAAAGAGAAAATAGAAAAGGAACTGAACAATTTCCTCTGACCCTTATTCTGTCCATTGCTAGGGCCCTTAGCTCCAATCTCCTCTCAGTCGGGCACAAGGGCTGGCTTATGTCAGACACCAATCATTCATGTTCCGATTTATAGGGTGTGCTGGTGGTAATGCTCGTCTTCACTGCGCTGGAACTCTTACTAACTGTATATGCATCTACGCTTTGGTGGAAACAAGTCTATTCCAACAACCCTGGGGTGAGTGTGTTGACATGTCAGATGATACCTGCTGTGTCCCAAGATCCAAGCCGTGATGACCCAAGCCCGAGAAGTGGCAGAAAGAGAGAGGAGTCAGTTATTGGTCATGATCATGAGGAAGGTGACTTTGTATAATGGGAAATGAGTTAAATAAAGGGATTGCTTTGTGATGACACTTTGGTCAGCTGAGAGCGGTTGGTATGTACTGGGAAGCAGACCAGTTAGAGAACTACAGAATATGAAGCAAGTTGGCTTTAGAAATCTCTTGGTTCAACACTATGTGAGAAAACGAAACTTGTCCAAAGTCACATGGAGAATCAATGACACAAACTAATGCATTGAGATTGGAAACTGGCATTCCCTCACTTTTGTCATAAATAATGCCACCTTCCTCCCTAGGGCGTCTCCATAGCAAAGCGCCCTGGGTAATGTGATTACATTTTACTAGGACATCTCTGTTCTGTTCATGCTTTTCTGTGTACTCCCCTTAGCTCTCGATATTATAATGCTAAAGCACTTTTGCTTCTCAAATCTATAGCAAAATACTGTCAACTCAAATTATAGAGAATTTTTCAAGGGGTTTGACGAATTATAATTCAACCATGATTTTACTAGAAAAACAAAACATTATTAGCAGGCTGGAGAATGGCGTTTGCTTGAACTAATATTGGCATAATTTCACTGGTAAAGTTGGAAGAGCTATTCTATGCACACTCTGAGAGAAAGGCATTATAATCATACAACAAAAAAGCTCCAAAACCAGAGTTAGAGAACCACTACCATATTTTATCTTTTTCAGACCACATTTTTCCTTCCTCGGTCACAAGAGCAAATACAACGTGGCAAAAAGAGTCCTTCAAGATCATGGATATGAGTAACTCTTGGCCTCAGAGGGAAAAAGAGAACACCAGTGCTCATGCAAGGTGTGACAAGACTTTCAGCCACTTTAGTGACTAAGAAACTTAAAAACAAACAAACAAACAAAAAACCTTTCTTTTGTATTTGTTCAATGTGAATAATTTTCTTTCTCTCGCAAATATCTTACCAAAAGCCTAGGTCAGCGACATTGTATTAGTCAGTCCTCTGAAAGGAAACTGTTCCGGGTTAAGCTGTGCAGAAAGTGCCCAGGGGAACACCTGCCCTCATGTGCTGCTCTTTGTTGCTAGTGTGTATGGGCTAAGATATAGACGTTATGCTGTTCCTGTTCCTGTATTGTTTTCCCACTTACGTTGTTCAAATGGTATCTCTTACGGATTGCGAGAGCATCTTAATTAAAAAAATATTTTTAAAACTTATGTGACTCCTTTCCATCTCATTTCTTTCAGGTGTTCAGAACTCTCAGCCTCCGTGAAATTTTCTCCCACCAACCTCCATAAATCTGCAAATTTCTTTCCCTTTCTCTTGCTTGTGTTTTTCACCACAGCCCTTAACACCATCTGACACAGTATATATTCTGTTTATTTGTTCATTGTGTGTCTACTCTTACTAAGCTCCAATAGGGCTCTCTGACTGGTCCTTGCTGAGGTTTTAAGGTCCTATTTGAGTGACTGTGTGTGTGTGTATTTTAAACTGGGGGCAGTCATTGTTAGCTGCTGAGTTAATTCTGACTCATGGTGACCCCATGGTTGCAGAGTAGAACTGTTCCATAGGGTTTTTAAGGCTCTGACCCTTTGGAAGCAGATCACCAGGCCTGTTGTCTGAGTCATCTCTGTGTGAGTTTGAACTGCCCATCTTTTGGCTAGTTGCAAACTGCTTAACCTTTTGTGCCACCCACAGATTCAAAAACTGGGTTGGAGGACCTTGGAAATATTTTTCCCCATGAACACAGAAATGCAATAAAATTTCTACTTTATCCAGGCTATATTTTTGTTTGACTGATTTTTGCTGTTAATAGTAAGGTTCTTCAGGGTATCTGAGTCACCACATTCCTGGGGCTAGAGTAAGGGCCCCTGCATTCTACAGCCATCCCTGCCCCCAGACTGGTTGTTACCCAACCATCCACAGACAGCATCACCATCAGCTCCATTAGTAAGTCAGAAATTTAGGAGACACTCTTGGCCCCTTCCTTTGCCTCACCACACATTCAATTTGGGAAATCAATTAGGTAAGAGCTATTCACAGGAAGGTCTAATAACCTCATGGTAAGAAACGGACTGAATGGTTTTAACCAACTCCAGATGGTTAACAGGGAGCTCTGGTGGCGTAGTGCCTAAGGAACTTGACTGCTAACCAGAAGGCTGGTGGTTCAAACCCACCAGCCACTCCTCGGAAGGAAGTTTGGGCAATCTACTTCCATAGTGATACTGCCTCAGAAACCCAAGGAGGGGTCACTATGAGTTGGGTCTGACTTGATGGCACATAACAACAACAACAACAGATGGTTAACATAGATACTAGAACTCAGAGCTCTCATTCTTGGTAAAAGAAATGAAGCCCCTACCCCTACCCCAAAGAGGTAACCCAAGAGTAGTGGTTGAGCCGCCCATGTTCATGTCCTCATATGCTCTCTAACCCTTCCTCCCAGCTTAGCCAACTGCAGTGAGAGACTGCCCTGGCTGCCACCATGGAGTAAGCAGCCATGTGGAGAAAGCAAGGGATTGTGGGCCATCTCTAGGATCTGAGGGCAGCTTCCAGCCAGGACAAATGTGGAACTCATAGTCACAGAGTCGCAAGGAAATAAATTTCTGTCAACAGCTTGAGTGAACTTGGAGGTGAGTTCTTCCCAGTGGAGCCTCCAAATGGAAATGCAGCCAAGATGACACCTTGCTTGCAGCTTGCGAGGTCTTCAGCAGAGGCAACCACCTAAGCCACGCTTCAACTCCTGACCCACAGAAAATGTGAGACGGAGCATATTGTTTTAAGGCACTAAATTTGTGGTGATTAGTTACATGGCAATAGAAAATTAATACACCCTGGACAAGAGCATGGAATCTGGAGCAAGAAAGGCCAAGTTCAAATTTCAACTCCACCACTTTCTAGCAGTAAACGTGGTCCTCTGTTCCCTCACCTTTAAAATGGGGATGATAATGATGCCCACCTCCAGTGTCTCAGCATCACTCGTCAGACTTGAGGAAAGGTGGTCTACTGCAGCCTGAAAGCAAGAGAAAATGCCACGTCCACCCAAAGGGTATTACCCTGGTTCTAAGTGCCTCATGAGCGTTCTGCCATTTTACCTCTCCAAGGAAGAGCTCAGTTCCTGCCTTCTGGCCTGAATCTATAGATCAATATGTTAGAGGATTCATTTTTGAGGAGCTTGGAAGTCAGAAATAGGGCAGAAGTTGACAATTATAACCTAGCTGAAAAGAGTAAATAAAATGCATTTTGACATATACATGGCAAACAGAATTCTATTTCTCCTGCTTAATATCAATAATTCTTTCCTGAAAACCAGGCATTCTACATGAGACATCTCTTTCCTGCCATTTTAAAGGAAAAAAAAATGTTATGAATCAACTTAGACTCTCATCCAATTTTCTGAAATGTAATTAAAAGGTAATGCAAGCAAAAACTATGAGGCACTTGGGTGATTCAACGTCAGAATCCTCTCCTTCCATACGAGGGACCTGGGTTCGATTCCTGATGAACGCCCCTCACATACAGTCACCACCCGTCAGTCAGTAGAGACATGCATGTTGCTATGGTACTGAACAGGTTTCAATGGAGCTTCCAGACTAAACCACACTAAGAAAAAAGGTCGGGTGGTATAGTTCCAAAACAATCCACCAATGAAAACCCCATGGATCACAAGGACCTGATCCACAACCAACCACGGCGTGGTGGACGACCAACCAATGGGCAGCACTTAGTTCCACTGCACAGGGTTGCCATGCAACTTGACGGTAGTTAACAAGAAATAACTGTGTTAAGTGGAAGTACGCTTAAAACATTGTCATTCCTTGGTCACCACGCAAACAGAATGCATGGCAACCTCAGGAGCTTTGATGGCAGTGTGTGGCCTCAGTCACTACCAGTACAGTGCAGGATGCATTTCCCTTTTATTGCCATTCAGCACATCTTCAGCCTGTCTCTACATGATTCTGAAGGTCTACCAGTTCTGCTTAGAATTTAAATACAGACTTGTTCCACACTTTGTTTTGTTTAAAATTATGTATTGCATTCCTGTGCATAAATTAAAATTTAATAATAACCTGAATATACCTTGTCAGGAAAACATTGTATTGAGAAATACATACCTTCTTTGAAGTGGGGAAAAATGAGGAAACTATCTTAATTACCTAGAGATGCCATAATAAAAACATGACAAGTGAATGACCTAAAAGAACAGAAATTTATTTTCTCACAGTTCAGAAGGCTAGAAGTTCAAATTCAAGGTATGGCTCTGGGGGTAGGTCCTTCTTTGTCTATTTCACCTTCTAGAAGTCCTGTATTTATTGTCAATCCTTGGTATTCCTGGGTTTGCAGATGCACCTGCCACGTGTCTGCATTCAGATGGCATCTTCCCCTGTGTGTGTGTCTGAGTCTATTCTTCTCTTTTTACAATTAGAAGTGATTAGGTTTAGGACCCAACCTACTCTGTTATAAGGTGCTCTGGTGGTGTAGTGCTTAAGGCATTTGACTGCTAACCAGAAGGCTGGTGGTTCAAACCCACCAGCCACTCCTCAGAAGGAAGATTAGGCAATCTACTTCTGTAGGGATACTGATTCAGAAACTCAAGAAGGAGTTGCTGTGAGTCGGATCCATGAGGCCATGAGTTTGGTTTTTGAGTTTCGGTACTCTGTTATGACCTCATTAACATAACAAAAGAAAACTATTTCCAAACAGGATCATATGCACAGGCACAAGAGCCAAAATTTTAATACACATTTAAGAGGACACATTTCAATCCATAGGAGGCATTCTATCAGGAAAAAAGTTAATGAATTATTTCTATGCATCAGTGATTCTCAATCTGGAACAATTTATACTACCCTGCCAAAGGATATTTGGCTGTATCTGGAGACAGTTTTTGGTTGTCACAACTGGAGATATGCTACTGGTAGCTACAGGATAGAGGCCAGAAATACTGCTATATAACCTAGAATTCCCACAAGAGAGAAATCAGGTCCAAAATATCAGTAATGCCTAGGTTGAGAAACTCTGCTATCCGTGGTTGCCACAAACTAGGAAATACTCATGATAATATTTGTGTGTACTTTTGGGCTTTGTGAAATAATTAACCTTTGTGATTCAATAGTTAAAATTGTAACAAATACAGGATTATGAAGGATTAAATGTGGAAAGCAAAATTCCAAAACCTATTTTATGTTGTTTAAATTTGTCTTTATATAGTTTAAGCCATGAAGGCCTTTAGTAGAATTAGTTTTTACTTGTCTTTCTGAAAGCTAAAATGCCCTCTGTTAAAGCTCCCAACTACATCTGATGTCTACCTTCTTAACAATTTTTATACTACAAAGAACTATGGTTAAACAATAAGTGAGATAATCCATCACCAAAAGTGGGAAACTCTTTTTGAAGGAGGTTGGAAGCATGGTTGAATAGAAGCAACTCAGATTTTAGAAACAGACCAGCAGACCTTGACTCCTTCCTCTGTCCATAAGTATGTGATCTTGGGCAACATAACCTTCCTGTACCTCAGTTTCAGCACCACAGAATTGCTAAAGGATTCAACTTGGCACCTGTACATTTAATTTAAAACAAACAAACAAAAACAGTCTCTACAGTATACTCAGAACATAGTGGATGTTCTATCCATTTTAATTCCTTTTTGTCTCATGAACATTAGGCATTGAGATTCATTTTTGTGTGTACCATCTACAAACAAATTGATGAAAGAGGATCTCTTCTGGACAGTGGATCCTTCACCAGGAAGACAAAGGGTTGACTGTTCCCAAGAATTCTAACACTTTATGACTCAATGACTATGATTCTGTGCTTCTAGCACTGAGCAGAGTGATCACTGAGGTCATATGGCTAAGGACTCCATGTAACACCGATGGAGAAACAGACCATGACTTTGGCTGTAACATTCACCTACTCATTGTCTTAGTAGAGTTTGCCATTGAATCATGGAGTCCTCAGCTCAGGTCAAAAAAGAAACCCATGCCATCACCATACAACCAAGGGAAACTGTATTGACTGGATTTCCTTACAGACCTCATAGCTCTCTGCTGGAGATCCTGAAGGGAGAGCCACAAGTCTTGGGGGTAAGTCTTTTCCAATGCCTGGTGTCTTCCAGGAGCATGGAAGTGTACAGAGGAAAGAAGTTACTTCTCCTTGTGTGTCCGCAGAGATACCACTGCACAGTGCTTTTCAGGGAGGGTGCTGATTGTGCTGTTGTTTCTTTCTCTTCATCTTTCACTTGCAATGTACCCTCCTGGGCATTCATGCTGCTGTTAGTTTGTCGAGTTGGTTCTATGTTTACAGAGTAGAACTGCTCCATAGGGTTTTCTTGGCTGTAATTATAACAGACGCAGACCAGCAGCCCTTTTCTAATGCGTTATCATTGGGTTGGTTCAAACTGCCAACCAGGTACCTTGACTGGTCATAAGTGCTTCTAAGCCATTTGCTCATAGAAGGAGCTCAGAGCTTGTTGTTGTTGTTGTTAAGTGCTGTTGAGTC